CATGTTAAAAATCAAGCACGGTCCACAGTCGAACCACTTTGAAAATCCTCCAAAGAATTCTGTCTAACTCGGAGGTTCCAGAGGACGGGATTCTGCAGCTGATGGGTCCAAAAGAAGAGGGGATGAAATGTGTCAGAAATGATCGCCTCTGAATGTTTTACAGACCGACGGAAGGCTCTCTGGGCTCTGCTGAGACACAGAAATTGATTCTTTGAGGTTTCACAGCCGAGGCTGTAAATTCACTACTGGGTAGGCAACTGACAGCGCAGGGAGCTGCAGCTTTCCCACGTTCCAAAACATGGATGAGCATACTGTTTTATCACTTCAGTGACTGAGCCTGAAGTAGGCTCTTACTCTGCGATAATGTTCCAGCAGGGCAGAATATTTCAGGATTGATTTATTCTCTTACATAAATTAGAACAAGAAGAACAACCTGACCGATCTCATGTTGGAGAGCTCAGCGAAGCAGCGCAGACACACTCCTCCTCATGTTTCTATATTATCTGTTCTCACAGCAGGGATGTGGGACTGAGACAGGGACATCTCAACGTCATGCTGCTGTCCACCAGCATATGGCGGCTCTTTTATCTTAAATACAAGAGGTCTAATTTCCGCGCAATAGGCAAGAAGTTCTGTCCTGTTCCCCAACGCCACAGAAACATGTGCAACAAAGACTGAAATTTACATGCAGAACCGTTAAGCTTCATAATACGAACAATGCTGAAGTCTTAAAATGAACTCGGCCTCCCATCTGCTGTGCTGAAAAAGTGCAACAATCAAAGCGAAATTAGAGGCAGCAGGGTCGAGCATTTCTGTGCAGCTCAGCACGGAGAGTCCAGGTGGTGTATATCCTAACTGCTTTATGGGTCTACAATGTATACACTGTCAGCACTTAGAGTGAGAACGGGCACGGACCTCAAAAAAAGAACAAGAACTAATGTGGTGAAGCACTTCATCACTGTCATCCGAGCCAGGACACAAGGCAAGTGGCTTCATCTTTTTCTGACTGGACGTCTCTGGTGCTAAGAGCAAAATCCTACTATGAAACAAAAATGATTTCACTTCAAAGTTTTTAGATGAAGTTGTTGCATTTTAAGCCAATAAAAGAAGCAAAATATTACAAAGCAGATATTTTCCATTCAAGTAAAACATCTGAAAACAACAACAAATAATCTCCTCTGCCCGGTAAAATGTAATCGAAAGGGAGCCCAATTCAATCACAACACTAGGGAACAATACGCAATTATTTCCCTGAATAATCTAAATGTTTATATTCCAGAGTACAGAAAATGAAATCCCTATGTTTATTGTTCAGTTCAGGATTAATGCAGATTCAACAATCATGGTTGGATTTGAGGCTGCAAACTAATAAGCAATCAATCAGCCAAAGATCAAAATCAGACTTTTCCTTTAATAAGCTCAAGATGTCAGAGATAGAAAAACTGTTCTCTTTTCCCCATTTAAAAAATGAATCCCAACTACAAACTCCACTTTTAACCATGCTGATCGTTGACAGTCCGAACCCACCGTGGATTCAAAAGTACTTCATTTTTGGACCAGATTCAAAATCCCGCTTTGATGCATTCATCAGAATAGTATGACAATCTTTTTAATTTCTGTTGAATTTGAAACGTACCCTTGTATCAGGGAACCTGCAGTGCATTTGTTTCTTTCATGTTTAAAGTAGAATTTAATTGTTGACTTTACACAGAGTCTGCACAGTACGTGTTAGAATTAATCAACAATGGAATCAGCAGCTCAGACCAGAAAGATGGGCGAGGTCATGCTTAATAATAAAGTCGGATCAAACACATGAATGCCTTACACTGACGATGAAAACCAACGAGTCATTTAGCCAATCAGATCAATCCCTGATAAGAAGAATGGCAGTGGCTGACAAAGTTAAAAATATAAGATTTTCCTTTAAATGCATCAAAAATTTAGAAAGAAAAATCAATATCCATTATGAATATTATTCAAACACCAGCAATTGTGCTATATTTAACAAAGAAATTGATGATTAATGCTCCAATCTCAATGTCAAATAATAAAAAAAAAGACAAAAAATATGATTTTTATTACAAATCCAGGGGTTCCTACCAGACCTCAAGCGTGTCTGTTTGGTTACGAGCAATGTCACCCTTACTATGCTCGTCTCGTTCTGTCCCACCTTCTGGCTGAACACCATTATTGCCTTCCCAGCAGGGGGCCTCCCTCCTTTTCCAGACTGAATACACTTGCCACAGTAAACATCCCTCTACAGTTCCACTGAGAAACAGGAAAATTCACACCATTCACTGTGCTGCAGCAACGGGACATTTAAAGAAGAGAAGGTGAATAAAGGACTTCCCCTTCAAAATTGGGAGGCAATGGATAATGTGTGGGGTAATGTGGGAAATAACACAGGTTTTGCTCACGTTATCTAAATTTGTGGGATTTATGGGATTTGCGGAAGTAAAAGTCACTCAATGTGTGTGGTTCTATTTACTGTTTAAGTGACAGCAAAAAGGAAATTTGCAGTGTCGTACCCAAAATGTTTCATGGCAAGATTTGAATTAGTAAGTAAAAAGCTTGCCCAAAAGGATTTTTAAAATTTGCATGAAACAGGTGTTTGATGCAGATGACTTACTTGTAAAAATAAATAAATAAATAAATTGAAAGCCATGAAAACCTGTTCTTCCACTTCACAACTTGTGCTGGTCAGATAAAAAGTCTGAGATTCGAACATAAACAAATGCATTAGATATGAATACTTTTGCAAGCCTGTAGTCAATACAAAAATCTAAACAAAAATGAAATCTTAAAGCGATTTCATTTTTACTAAGACAACATTGAGCTAAATGTTGAATCATTTATCTGTATTCACCTCCCTCATACTTTAACCTCTGTGCAGTTCCTACTCATTAAGCCAACTGGTTCACCAAGTCACCATCTCTTTTTGCACACCTGTGGCTGACGAAGCCATTTGTCATGTAAAGGCCTTAATGTAGAGTTGTCACCCATCTACAACAGATAGTTTATCTTAGATTGGGATTCTTGTCTGCTGTCATCACTTAGGAAAGTCTAGGAATGCAGTCAAACCATTCAGAGGACTGGAACGGGTAGGCAAAACAAAGATACTCCAGGCAGAGTAGAATCCGTAAACAGATGGAATGTGCACGCAAAACTACTACTAAATGAACAGGTATAAAAGATTTAAAGCCAGGTTCAAAAGCAGAGAGGCACTGAGTCATCTAAACCACAATCAGTAATCTACACACCTTACATTTCTCTGATAACTGTGTAACTTACAAACCTCGTCAATGATCAAAATCTCCTAGACAAATAGCTACATACGTACCTGTCAGGCTGGTAAGGCACTGAGCTACAAACAGGGCTGTATGAACAGGTTTCACCTGTTTTTTCTCTCTCTCTCTCTTTCTGAATGGAACTAGATTCACATGTGAAGAAGCTGTGTGAACAATCCAAGCTGGGATTTCACAGACTCTTCTCTCTATGGATCCTAATGTCATGGCTCCTTTCAATACGTACATTTCATTTTAGTGGAGCTGCTGAGTTCAGTCCAGACAGGACAACTCCTTGAAGTCTCATTCGGTAAATAATGACACTTTTAAGTAAAAGTGTCATTAAAAGTGTCATTATTTACCAAATGGCACTTCATGACAACAGTCATAGACATTCATAAAGACTCGTTCATGTTCATGACAGGTGTCATGTTTATGACAGTGTCATCACCCCATTAATTAAAGTGTTAACACATTTGTTCTTGCTTTGTTCTTGAGGTTAAGAAAAAAGTATACTTAGGAACAGCTTGGAAGTTAGGACTTAGAATAAAATTATTTTTTTTATATTCAATAGAAATAAACTTACTTCGGATAGTTGGTCAACATGATCAGTACTTTTATTTGTTTTGATTAGTATGTTGTAAAATATTTATTTACGACAAAATCAGCTCAACAAAAACAAGCTTCTGCAAGCCAGATACATTGCATCAGGCATTTAGCTCCTTTATTTATTTTTCACTTTATATTTTTGCACTTTTAAAGAAATTACTCTTTCAGGAAAGTTTACTTGTGTTCTTTCTGGAGGCAGGCAAATGCTTTAAAACCAAACATGAGGAGTCTGCATAGATTTCAGAACATTTTGGCAACAATAAAACACTAAGTAGCCTTTTGTGAACATGACCAGGGGAATCTAACGTGCTATGAAACAGGTTGCGTTAAAATCCCATGTGGACTGGATATGCAAAGGTATTTAAAGGATGAAAAAACGACAGTGGCCCACTTGGCATATTCCCACTCCTCCTTTCTTCCTGTTTTAGAAAATACAACCATGTTATTTCCACATGTTTCCTTTTGTCCGCTTAGTGTCCACTGAACTTCAAATGTAGACGTAAGTTACAAATGACTGAGATGAAACAGTAAACGATGTCAAGGAAAAAGTGGGTTACAACTGTTTTAGGAAAATCTCTAACCTAACCAGAGTAACGTGGGAGTGTCTCAGACAGGACATTTTTGAAACATGTAAGACAATCTTTTCATGTGCTGCAAAAATGTGTCTATTTAGTAATGGGTATTGTAGTGATATCTGACATTTGCATATTTTACAAAAATAAATACGAATTTAATACGCAACAAATTACATTGCTGTGCCTGTTGTGTTGTCATTAACCGAACTAAGAATAAACGACAATGAGAAGTTTGTTGTGTTTTTTTTTTAGTAAAATCTTCAGACTAAAGAGAAAATAGGTAGTGGAAACCCTATGTCATTAACATGTTGTTCTGTGCTAAGTATACATTTGTAAGTGGGGGTAAATACACCCCAGAATAACGTCTTATCTTTTCGTTGTAACAGTTTGTAGTGTTGCTTACCAAGCAGTGTCTCATTTTAGCTAGCTCCACCTCCATCTAATTATAAACTTGTTGGGGGAAAACAAAACTCAAAACAAATTTCTGGGCTCTTCCACAGACAAAATACTTGTTAGCAGCTCCGGTCCTCACCTTGAACTCTCCAGACATCTGCGGGGTGTAGTCCAGCGTCCACAGCGCTCGAACCAGCGACGCCAGTTGCTCGGTTACTTCACCCTCGGAGCTCCGCGCCTCATCCGCCCTCACCTCACCGTTCGTCCTCCCGCTGCTAATATCCGACTTGTACTGCCCCAGCCCGAGGTATTCGGCCAGCAGGTCCGTGTTGCTGAGGCACTGGACCACGGCATTCATGAAGCAGGTGTTGCCGTGGTTCTTCAGTCCCAACACGCCGGGAGTCTTGTCGCCGTAGCACCACGACAGCCTCTCCTTCACCGAGCCGTGGTAGGAGGACACCGCGGAGCTCCTCTTCGTGGCTTCCCCCCTGGAGGTCTGCGAGAAATCGTCCCTGAAGCCGCCCGAGGCGCTCCGCACGAAGCCGCCGTCGTCCTCCTCCGCGTCCGGCGGCTCTGCGTCGCCCAAGTGCGCTAAAGTGCCCAAAGTTTTCAGGATCCTTCCCATGAAATTCCCAAAAGAACGCAGCGATTTCCTCCTGACGAACTTTCCACTTTTATGTTTCTGCTCCTTCGACGTTTTGGATTTCATCGGCTGTTTTCTTGTGTTGCTCTCCTTGCGGCTGTCCATGGCTCATGCAGTGGCTGAACGGGACCGAGAGAAAATGAAAGAAGATTGAGGAGTGCACCTGTCTGCCAGGCTGTCCACCCCTCCTCCTCAGCTTTACTTCCCCCTCCACTCCACACACCTTACGGCTCAGCAGCCACCGGCTCGGTGCCAATAAGGCACATGATCACTGACACGATCCCTCAGACATCTCATCACACTTCGATGGGTCACGATCTCCGCACCGAGCAGAGCGGCTTGTCTTCCCGCACAGCGCAGCTCCAGTGAGCTGCACTTCCTCATCGATGGCTCTCCGTGATTAATTGAGCGTCTGGCGGTCTTTGACTCGCCTTACCCCGCTGTTATCCCTCTCTCCTACTCTGCTCATGGACCCATAGGGAGCTATTTGAAGGTTTCATTCGTATGCCCACTCTTAGGACAAAGAACTTAATCACACACTTTGGCCAGAACTAAAACACGAATGAGTTGCTCCAACGAACTGCTGAGTTTACCTTCAACTTTAAACGTTTGTAAAACACTGGGAATAAGGAAGTTGACTAGAATAGGTGTCAAAGCTCTGTAGCTGTAAGCTGCCCCCTGTAGGATTAATTACATCATAACCTGCCTTGATTTTCCAAAAAGTAGCGGAGAAACGGCCTTTCTTGGTTGAATCTATCTTTCGGTGTCGGAGGAACAACATCAAAACTACTTCTGAATTAGTCCAAATACACTGCCTGGCCTAAAAAAAAAGCCTCCTTAATGTAACTGAGTCCTCCGGCAGATAAGTTATTTATCCCCAGCTGATGCAATCTTAAACAACCTTGTGGAAAGATGCATTCTGTGGTTGTGTAGAAGATGGTAATCTGTTTAAGAAGGGTCAAATTATTGTTATGAAGCACGAAAACATCTGAGAAGACTGCACAAATTATAACACAGAGTTAACTGTCTGACATATTATTAAAAAGTCAAAGAAGAAGTGGGGAACCATCGTCTTTGAGTAAGAAATGTGTTTGGAAAAAAACCCTGAATGACCGTGATTAATTCAACTCTTGGTGATGTCAAAGAGAGAAAGAAAGACCATCTCCACACACGCAATGTGAAGGGAACTCAAGAGATTAGGGCTCAACGGCTGTGTAGCCATAAGAACCCAGCTAGCATTGAATGTTCGGAGAACGTCCGCCGAACGTTGTCTTGAACGTCCGCCGAACGTCCTCCGACTACGTTTTCCAGACGTCAAAATGAAACAGGCTAATTGGAGAAAATAGTTTCAATTTGCATGAGAGTATAAAGAATGAACTCTAGAGTGATGTAAGAAGGTCATGTGATCTGATGAGTCCAGATTTACCTTCTTCCACAGTGGTGGCTGCGTCAGTGTAAGAAGAGAGGCAGATGATGTGATGCACCAATCATACCGAGTGCCTGTGGGGCAGCGCTATAATCTGGGGTTACTGCAGGTAGTCAAGTCCAGGTTCGGCAACATTATGAGAGCACTGACTACCTGAATATACTGAATGACCAAGTAAGTCCATCAGTGGATTTGTTTCTTCGCTGATGACGATATACCAACCAATGCCAAGCTTCATCAGGCTGAAATTATGAACAACCATGAGACATTTTGGATTAATGATAACAGAGTTTAGACCTTAACCTACAACTAAATCTTGTGACACTGCAGAAGTGCTTTGAAACACTACCACAGCAAATGTGTGCTATAATCATAGTTAAAGGCGGTCCAATAAAGCATAAGAGTGTGAGACCTTTTTTGGGTCAGGTAGTCTATAGGTGATAAATGACGCTAAGTCTATGTATGTATGTATGCCTAAAATGCTTAAGATCACCAGTAAGGATCAGAGTAAATACAAAAAGCATCTTTCAACTGATTATTTTACTTCTAGGTAAATAATTCTAACCAACCTGCCCATATAGGAAAAAAAAAATAAAAATACTCCCTAAACCTAACAACTGGTTATATCAACCAGTCTGCAACAACTGGCAGTGAGTTTTTTTGGCTTGAATTTCTTTGTTTAAGAGGAAGAGGCAAGGTGGGGGAACTTCCACAGCCAAATGCCTCCGTCTTCGCTGGCGCTGACCAGGATGCGGTTCAAGGTGCAGATCCTGGTGCAGGTAATATTGGCTCCAGCAGGGATACTTATGTGGGTTATTTTTCCTTGCATATAGTCCCACACCTTCATCCGCTTGTCTTCTCCGCCTGCCAAACCAAGAAGGAGAAAAATGTATTAATAACATGAAAGAAAACTGTACAATTGTCTAACAGTGTCAGCAGGGGAGGAGAAAACATGGGCTCTGAAGAGATGAAACACGCTCAATGAGATACAAGAGGAAAAATAAGACAAATTAAAAAATATCAGGAATTAGTAGCTCAGGACAACTCTTTTTTTTCCTCTTAAAACCCCTGTGATTGTAGGCATAAAAAATTACCTCAATCTGATGGAACGAAGAAGGAGCAGATATTTGATGATCATAGCTATCTACAGTTCTTTCATCGGTTCAGAAGTTTATTTATCTTGGGCATGATTGTCAAATTGACTAAGGGCTTTTAACAATACAAATTTTTAAAGCAAACTTTTCGGTGCATAAGTTTGAATTTACTGTGGCGTTTTTTCAAAGAATGGGCTTTGGGGATGACATCATAGAAGCCTAAAGTTAGCCTGCTATATCTAATCTAAAGGCAATTTTGATGTTTATTTGGGATTGTTGTTCAGGTTCTTATTATCTGATCCCAGCGATTGCTCTGTGATGAAAGGAATGCTGGGATTAACCAGGGAACCACCAAAGCTTAGGATGCTGAACACCAGTTTAACACCAACGTGGGCTGAGACAGTCCCAGCCGTCATGATCTGGATAACTTGCCATCGCTGATCGAATCATAAATCCTGATCTTTCCAAGAAAATCCTGAAAAAAATTCTTCAGTTCATGACATTGAGCCCAAGACCCATTGGCTTATGCACCAGGGCAATGAACACCGACGACTCCATCTCTGAAAAAAAAACTTCATGGAGGTTTTAGAGTGGCCTGCTGAAAGTTGGTGTTTAAATTTGATTGAGATGCTGTTGCATAAATGTTCCACAAACCTCAAATGTGGATCATTTCAACAATTTGCATTAAAGAAGAAATCTATAACAGACAAAAAAAATACTCTTTCATACCACTGTATGCAAACTTCTGACCAGAACCGCATGTGATGAGTAATAAACCCCAAAAGAACAAGCACACAAAGCTTGGCTCAGGTTAGCAATGCTGCTGATACAATGTAAGAGCAACAGACCTGTCACAAAGTGGTTGCCGTCCTTTGTGATGTGTATGCTGTTGTAGACCCCTGTCTCTGTGTCCTCCCGTTCTCTGATGTTCGTGCCGCCCAACACGTCCCAGTAAATGACCTGAGAACCAGATTAGCACACGGACAACTCAAGGTTACAGTGGGTGCAATGACAGAGTCACCTCTTGAACTCGCTCTGAGAATGAAAAGCTGACATAAGAACAGCAAAAGTTCTAGTTATCGGTTGAATTTTTTTGCCTTCATTTTAAATAAGATCACAGATATCTAGTAACGTTTACTCAAAAGCTGACCTGGGTGCACCCAAATCTGAATTCACTTAACTTATTTGGCTAAATACACTAAACATTTGTTGCAGCTTGTTGCTGCGAATAGTCAGGAAAAATTTAAATTAGTCGAGACACCCGAAACAATTTGGAATCTGATATGTTTTTTTTTGTTTTTTTTATAGGGCAAAACTACAAAACCCTTTTTATATTTTAGACCTGTAAAACAAAATTATTTTTTGCATGTCAAGTTTATTGCTGAGCAGGTAAAAAAGAGATTTTTATCAAAGCAAGCTCCATGACATGTTGCAAGCTTAGCACATCACTTTACATCCTAACCCTGCTTTCAGGCATCTACAGAACTTTCTCCCTAACATGTCTGCTGCAGTTTCTTCATCTATTTGATGCAGATTTTCATTCATTTTCTTCAGCAAGCCTTTAAGCCTAAGGATTTTAATGGGTCTCATTGTTGTTTTACTTAGATTTGTTGGAATAAAGAGGGGCTAAACACAAAAACAGATTTGGCAAACCACATACATTTAAGTTTATGGTCATAATGTAACAAAATGTGAAATAAGTTAAAGGGATTTGAATACTTTTGTGAGGTACTGCATATCAGTGTGTACAGTTTGTTTAGAGGAAAATATAAAGTTTTCATGACATAGAGTTCACTTGAAAGAGAATCTGGCTTCCCAGACAGGATTTCATTTGTCTGTCCAAGACCAACTGTGCAACTGTGGAAGAGAAATGCAATCCCGAGACAGAGACATAAAATGTTATTGAAACAGAACAGCAACAAAAGGCATGGTGATAAAACAAAAATAGTTTATTGTTTTAACGCTCAACATTACTCTCAAAGCAATAATCGTTTCATAAAAATCCAAGGAACATTGATATGAGGGGTGTGCAGCATTTTTCCAACTTATTAAGTCATTGAAATAATATTGCAAACATAATTTAGAGCAACACAGCCACCACTAGGAAGCCTTTGTCAGGAACAGTAAAATGAGACTTCAAAAATGCACATACATTTATATACTTTCTTACTGATGCAGTTGCCACGGCGTAAAAAAGGAACCCGTGATAAATAATTTCAATATCTTCTAACAGTGGAAAATACACTATGTTTTGCATCACTCAACTAAACCATGAAACTCAGGTGTACCTGGGCCAGCAGACTACTTGCACAAACATTTGAATGACTCCCTGAAACTCAGTGATTTTCAATATAGTACCATGACAAGATTCCACATCCAACAGGTAGAGTTGTGAAATTTTCTTGCTAATACATGTTCTACAGCTATAATAAAGTGGGAATGTTTGGGAACAAATCTCTGCAGAAGTCATCAACTTTCTTCAGAGTCAATAGCTACAGATGTGGAAATGTTTATGTATTAGCTCCAGAATGAGCTGTAGAGTTTCACAGAATTGTTTGCCATGACTGACATCTAATGTACACTGCCAGTGGGTTTTAACAGAGATGTGTTCCCTGGAATAACACATTTTCCCTTTCTGCTTAGGAAAAGAACAAGTCTGGGTTTGGTGGTTTTCTGACTTCATATTGCAAGTGTGAAGCTTTGTGTGAAGAGGATCATAGTTTTTGGCTCAGCCCCTCTGTTCTGGCGAAAGGAACTGCTATTGTTACAGTGTACAAGACATTTTGGACTATTTTGTGCTCTTGACTCTGTGGGAGCACATAAGGACATAAATGAGCAAGTTTGGTGTGGATGAACTTGACTGGTCTGGAAAGTCCTGAACTCAACCTAATAGAGCACCTTTGGGATAAATTAGAGTGAAGACTGAAAGCTAGGTTTTCTCGTCCAACATCAGTGTCTGACCTCACAAAAGAATCATCAAAGGTAGGAACTTCTATCCTGTACATCTTGAAGAGTACCAGAGTCAGTGTTCCTAAACTCAAAAGGACTATAAAAAACCAACATGTGAATAAAAACAGAAAGGTTTCTCCCTTTGCCTAAGAAGAATGAAACCAGGACTGGGGAAAATGTGGACGCTACACCAACAGGGGGCAGCAGAGAGACACCCCTGCTCTAACGTCATCACCATGTGCCATCACCATGTGCCATTCTGTGATTAATGGAGTGGAACATCAATGAACTGTGGCTCCCAGTTCATGGTGTTGTAGTCAACCAGGTGGTATTATTGGGCATTTAAACATTGTGATGTTGAACAGGGGGGGGTGACCCCTCAACCTCTGTGTTTTCATTCAGTGTTTGCTACAACATCCTAAAGCTATAACCACCCAAGAGTGACCACTACTACAACCTCTGCAGTTCTCAATGACATTTCGTAAGTAAAGCAAGCAATTAGATTTTGCTGAAAACATGCAGAAACAGACCCTATAGAGAGTTTACACAAATAAATAAAGCACTCTGGGTTGGGCACATGTGCTAGTACTGGAAGACTAATTAAGCAAACAACTTCAAATTCCTAACCTCGTAGACCACAACCATTATATTATATTATAATAATAATATTATATATTATATAATATTCCATCATGCTTCTTGTTTTTGGTAAAACCTTAAAGATCTCAAATTTTCTTGTAAAATGTTTACATCTGTAAACATACACAGTATAAAAAATGTGAATGGTTCTGCGTTAAAGGCAAAGCTGGAATTATCTGGAACCTTGGACTATGCATGCGACACCTTGTCATGATAATGTAATCAATAGAGGCACATAACCAATGGAGTAATTTGGCAAACACTTGTCAGGAAACATAATTATATCCACATATATCATAAAATTGGTTTCCACATAGCAGGAAACAAAAATTAGCTCCAACATAGAACAAAGTACTGAAAGTCAGTGTTAAATAGGGAATAGGACACTTGCATGAAGCTATTGATTCAAAGACAATTATGAGAATTTTAGAGAAACAAAACAGGCAAAATCTTTTCATCCAGGATTTTTTGTTATTTTTGAAGGACATGAACTAATTGCACACAGCTTTAAACACCAACGCTTCAAAGACATAACATGTGTGCTTCACTGATTGCTGAAGTCCAGATCTTTCTCATTGAAAAGGTTTGGTCTGCCTGACAGAAAGTCTAAAACAAAAGGTCTCACATAAAACAGGGAGACTGAAAGTAAAGGGACACATTCCTTTCTCAGACCTTCATTAATGAATAAACTCTGGAACATTTAGATCCAGGAAGAATGTGAATGTTGCACATTCCTCACTGCT